GGTTTATAATAAGAACACTTGATTTGTCATTTGTCTGATTAAATATTTCAGAAGAAATCCCTTTGGATACAACAGTTGCCTTGAAAAAATTTTCATGTGTATCGTAATCGTCAAAACAAATTATTAGGACACGCGCACAACCCTTGCCGTTGCGTACGTTCCGTTCGCCGCTGTTCGTATAATGCCTTGTTTGTTAGAGTCACTGTTAATAGGCCGCAATCTTGAGAGTTACTAACCACCCTCTAAAGATCAGAAGTGATAACAAAACATTACATATATATTAAATAAATTGACAATGGCTGTCAGTTAAACCGTGACTCCGAACGGACTACACATTAAAATTGTGTAAATTGAAAAGATACTTATTAAAACAGTGATAGAAATTGTGCTGTGAGAAGTATAAAGCTCGTTACCTTCCTCATCCTTGACTCGTCGTGCCTGGAAACCGTGGATTCGAAGCATATTGGTGTTAAATCATTCAGTAGCCACGGATACCTAAGTCAGCTTGAAGATATACTCGTTTAATACACTCGTATATAGAAACTGACTTGTTCTGACAGGAAGATTGTGGAAGCACATTGCCACTTGGTGTTAAATCATTCGACAGCCACAGTATGGGAGGCCAGAAAATGACTAGAAAGGATATGCATATGAGAAATAAATTTACAAAGGAACGATTATCGTTCATACACTTGAATGCATGCGGCCTCCGGAAGAAAGCAGGCCAACTTAAAAAGATTCTCGACAAAAGGAAACCTCACTTGTGTCTAATTTCAGAGACGAAATTAAAGTCACGTATCTCGATCGATCACCGATTCAGAGGTTATCGTGTCTACCGCCGCGACAGGATTTCGAAAAATAAAAGGGCTTTCCGTGGATTGATGGTCCTGGTGAAAGATGGCATTCCTCACACGCGAGTGGAAGATCCGCAAATCAAATCGTTAGATGTTCTGGGCGTTCAGTTACTCGATATACCTATGCGCGTATACGCTGCTTACAGAGGTCACGAAAATAACATATCAGATTCCGATCTCGGTATACTGCTGGGTAATGACATGCTGACGGCCATTGCGGGCGATCTTAACTGTAGTCATACAGCCTGGAATTCTAATCGGACTGACAGAAATGGGCGACTACTACTGAAGTATGCACAGACTAAACAGTGTTACGTATATGGGCCTGACTCATATACCTACATTAGTAATCGCAGGTCTCACAGACCTAATGTACTCGACCTTGTAGTGCTTAATACACCAACCCTACTGGAACAGAGAGTGCTGGAGGACGAGTTTAACTCTGACCACAGACCCGTATTGGTTCAGTTCAAACACATATATGTACGAAGTGTATACGAAGCCGAATTATCATCAACCTAAATGAGTTTGCCGAAGAAAATTATAAAACCTTGTATAAAATATTCTTTGTTGAAATAAACGTAATATTGAATAGTCATGTTTTTTATTCTACCACTCATATCGTTCCTAACGCAGACTCTTCACAAGAAGAATTCTCATTACGCTTTTCTATTACGTGTTGCTCTTTAGAATAATTCTTGTTCAAAATTACATAGCATCGTTGACATATATAAAGAATGAATAAATACGAGTAAGTAATAGAATCATCCTAACGCCTGCTTACTTTTACAAGCAATTACTATACCTTGTAATTCAGTACATATCATACTATGTGTATGAATGTATTATATATATAATATGTATTGTATAATATTACTTACCAAGTATCAATTTTAAAAAGTTTTTATTCTACTACTTTAAAATTGAGTTTCATATCCGTAAGTTTTATCAGATTGAGTCGCCTTCTACACATTAAAAATATTAACTAAAAATACTTCTTATTCGAAGTCATATGTCACATGTTAAGTGGTAAACCACCAGTATCGCAACTCGTGTGTCCGACTTCGAACCTTTACATACTTCATGTATTATTATGTCGGGTTTGTTCAAACACGTGTAACTATAGAACGGCTGGAGCGATTCTAATTGTTTTTAATTTGTTGTAAATATTTGTGTCCATCCCGAATAATAGAATAACTATAAACACTGTTCTGTATTATTAGAAAATAATACATGAATGTACTATTTAAATATTGGTTTAGTACCTATATACGAAACGAAACGAACATATACCTACGAAATGTTCCTATATTCTTGTTAAATATCCAATATGATGCACATTAGAGTATTGTTTCTGTTTCCCAAAATGATGTTGCAACAGAATGTTGGATGTACCACAAGAACGTCAATACTAGTACTAGAAATAAATTTACAAAGTAGTGGTTTATCATTCAAAGTATTCACACACTTGAATTTCGAAATAATCATGGAATATTATAAGATCATTTCTAAAAATCGTGTAAACATATATTCCATATAAGAAATAAATTTATCATAAGCGTGCTGTTGGGTATGATTCGAGGGGCTGTATTTACATTCAGTTTGTAGTATATAAAAGTAGTAGGTGTATTGAAATAAAAGTAAATTACAGACATATAGAGTTATGTAAAACAATATAAAATAATAAGGAATTAGTAGCAGAAGTTTTTAGCATTTCAGTTCTTTCTATAGTTTTCCCGCGCAAACGCAATGCGCCACAGATGCAGAATATTGCACGACGCGCAGCCGCAGCACGATGTCGAGCACATGGTTATAACATAGCTGTATGCGCGATGTCTATCGTCATCCATATACTTGAATGCGAACGGTCTGCGCAATAAAGCTGGCCAGTTCGATAAGATATATGAAATTTAAATGAAGACCTGACTTGTCGTGCCTCGAAATCGCGTTGTAACACAACACATTGCCTCCTGGTGTTAAGGCGCTAGACGCTCCACAGCCACTAGGTATGATGTTTCCACTAGAATTTAATATAATAGTAACAATTAATTTATTTACATATTAGGAAAACATTTCAATAATATATCTCACACAACTTCTTATCTAGTCTAATCTATTCATCACATGACGTATGTATCCAGAGTAGATATAGAATCTACATTTCAGTATTAAAAAATAATTCTTATTGGACTAGTTGCGACACTGATAGTTTATTAAACAGGTGTGTCCGTCTTCGAATCCTTACTCCCAGTATATTTTGGTAATATAATAAAAATACTTGATTTGTTCTCAGGTCAGCCCCCCCATTTACTGCATTTTATAATTCTGTATTATTATAAACCACTAATATTCAACTTATGCAAAAGGTGCATTAGTCACCTTAGCGATGCTTAACTTTCCACTGTGCGAGTGAACATATACGAATTGTTCCTTTATTCCTATTAATTAATAATAGATCTCAATAATCAATATTAGAGTGTTGTTTCTGTGTCTCAATATCACATTGTTACATATGGATATAACACATTGCATCTCGACGTTAATGCGTACGACAGCCACAAACAAGGATTTCAATACTACAAAAAATAAACTTACAATGAGTGGCCTATCATTCAAGTATTCCGATCGCCGCTGCTCGTATAATGCCCAGTTTGTCAGAGTCACTGTTTGAGCGCTATTACCCTCTAAAAATCAGAAGTGATAACAAAACATTACATGTATTAATAAATAAATTTACAGTGGCTAAAATACGGGACTCTGAAAGGGATACTCATTAAAATTGTGTAAATTGAAAAGATACAATGTGTACTTGACTTGCCTGGAAACCGTGTTACTAACACAAGGATTCGAAGCATATTGCTGCCACTTAGTGTTAAATCATTCTGCAGCCACAGGAAGGCAGGCTTGAAAAGATACATCGTTATACTACACTAGTACTCGTATATAGAAACTGACTAGAAATGACAAATGACATTTTTTTCGGTTTTCCGTGGACTGACTTGTGTTTAGTTTCGTAGATGATACTAGGCTGGTGAAAGATGGTATTCGACTCACAGGCGACTGGAAAGAGATTCCTCAACTGGAAGATCAAATATCGTTAGATATTCTGGGCGTTGAGTTAGTCGGAAGACCTATGCGCGTATACGCTGCTTACAGAGGTCATGAAAATGATATATCAGAATCTGATCTCAATATACTGCTGCATGCTAATAATAACATGTTGACCATCATTGCAGGCGATCTTAACTGTAGTCATACAGCCTGGAATTCTAATCGGACTAAACAGTGTTACATATATCAGCCTGACTCTCCTACATACGTCAGCAATCGCAGGTCTCACAGACCTAACATACTCGACCTCGTAGTGCTTAATAAACCGACCATCCTGGAACAGACAGTGCTCGAGGACGAGTTTAACTCTGACCACAGACCCGTATTGGTTCGGTTCAACGGTATACATGTAGACCAAGCCGAATTCTAATGGTAATATTCATCAATCAAAATGAGTTTACCAAAGAAAATTTTAAAACCTTTATACAAACATAAGTACACAAAGTAATTGTGAATTAATTGGAGTTTTTATGTGGTAAAGTCTTAATTGAAGTTTTTATAAGGTGACTCCTGTATAATAATAATGAATTAAATCATGTATAGACCATATTACTTACTGAGTAGTATAATAGAGTTTTTAATCAGTCTTGTTTATTCGTATAAGTTTCAGTTTATTAAGTTATTCAACGACAACTTCTGAAGATATTTGCAATTACATTAACTCTGTGCTAGTTAAGTAGGGTAGGTTTATACAGACAATATTGTACATACAACTATGTTTGTAAATAGCCTTGGTTTTCCGAAAAATAAATAAATAAAGAAATGTAATTTTCTACTATATTTGTTTTTATAATATTAGTTCAAATATAAAGAAATAAATGAGAATTTTAGATTCCTAGAGAACTTTGCCTCTCACTACCCCATATATAGGGAGACAAGTATTGTACACTGTTGTAGTCTTTGCTTATCCCAAAAGCCTTATAAAAACGGTAGTGTTTTGATGTTCTTGTAAAGCTTAGGTTTTATAACATTTTTGCATGTTTAGACTACTTGAGTTTAATAGTGAAAACAAAGTATTAATAGGAAACGCACATTTATTATACAACTATAAAACATACACCATAATATCACTTGACTGAATCCACTAACTAATAACACTTTGAGCAAACACGTAAGTTAAAAGTTCAACACTACATTACGTATCTGAAGAGAAAATAAATAAGTTAACAAGAAGTTTTATGACACTTAAATTTAATAGTAATTGACTATTACGATCATTGCAGACTATGTTTGATCTTTAATTGTATTACCAACAGGCTTTTTATATGCTTCAGGCGTAACTATTGTGACGGCTGCCTTTTTAAACCTCGTAGACCTTCCCAAAACAGCTTCATCTAACTTTGCTATCGTAGCAGTAGGAGTGGGGTATTCACCAATCAACTTAAGAAATGAGGTAGGTCTAATTATCTGAACCTTTTCATTATTCACCATTGCCATCTCCTTCTCTTCTTTACTGTTCTTTTCTGCGCTTGATCTATAAAATCTTTTAACAGGTGGAGACTTTTCTGCTTCATATAAATATGAATCTAGCTTGTGTAAGGGATCAAGTTGGTCTGTTAATTTCTCTTGTCTCACATCTGAGGCAGTGAAGTGTTCTATTGGCTGAATATCCTGTTTGATTATCTCTACTGTAGAAGTAGTAGTTTCAACAGACTTATTAGTTACAGTAGTACTACTGGTTGTACTGGTACTACTGGTAGTAGTAATAGGAGTAGTAGCTCTAGTTGTAGGACCACTGCTGTTTCTCAAAGTCATCCTACGTCTATGTTTTCTTTCTGCTGAACTAATTCGTGATATGTCTTCAGTGGAACTGACTTTACTTTTATTAAAATTTATATCAGCATTAACAGTTATGAGCTTATATTCTGAACTGCTTTGGTTTTCTTCAGTCTTTGGTTTAGAAGTACTTCTATTTGTGTTACTTGTTCTGTTAGAAATATTAACATTTCTGTTTGCACGATACACTGGAGTCTCGTCGGTTGATACAGATCCTTTATTTCTCTCGTCAACAATGAATGGTTGGGGAGTAATAATTTGTAAATCATTAGGACCACTACGAACAGGGTTGGTACTGTCTTGGTTTCCTAGAATTGATATCGCTTCTTTTATGCCATCCTCTACTTCTGGGTGTGTAGGTTGACCTAGAAACAGGAAACATCATGTTTTTTGTTAATCATAGCTAAAGAAGTAAATATGATTTTACGTTTTGAGTACTCTCTACTCTTCGATATAACAGACAATAAACTATCAGTCATGAAATATTAGAATACGGATATCTTCGCATATGTTTCTTCCTCATATTGTTACGTATTTGGAATAGTCGCAAGAATAAAAAATATCGAAGTCGAAACCATCTTCTGGGTGGAAAATGATTGTTAGTAAAGTGACTGATGAAGCAATGTACCATGTTAGATTGATCTCCACGCTGTTCTCCCTGGAAACCATCGTGACAAATCTGCTAGGAATTTATTACGATAGTTTCAAAGTGGCTAACTGATCTGCCTTCTTGTTCATCCTATCATCCTCCACAGAAGCCCCGCTAGCATAAACCGTTAGCGCAGGCGGATGCATCATTACTTTATCATACATTAAAAAACTTACCATCCTCTTGAACCTCTTTCTTATAAGAGGAGAAGAATGTCAATGCCTTCATTAGTTGATAGCTCTTCGACACCGGTATGTTTGTGTCGTACAATCGTCTAGTGTTTTTACAGTCCACGTAGAACCACCAGTTGCATTTCAGTATAGTTTGATCGAACAGTGTAGACTCGGGACATAAAAATGACTTCATCACTAATCCATCATCGGTCAAAGCACAAACGTGGAACACCTGCAAGTTTGAAAATGTTGATGTACTTTTTTATTTCAAATGGGAAGCTGACGGCTTACCTCATGGTAACCGCCTATGTATATACATGAACAGTATCACGGATATCATGTGATGCTCATAATACCACTCGTACGTTGCTATTAAATGCGAACGGTCTGCGCAATAAAGCTGGCCAGTTCAAAAAGATTCACATTAAATAGAAATATTACTTATCGTGCCTCAAAATTGTGTTATGATATAAATTTTGATAGTATGATGTTTCTACTAGAATAGTAATTTTAATAATGTCTACTAGGGACATATAAAAATCTAAACAAAAAAAATAATTAGTAAATAAGAATAGAATAAGTAAGTGGATTTCTAAAAGTCTTCTAAATAAGTAAGAAATAACAATACGTATAAGAAATAAATTTACAATGAGTGATATATCATTCATACACTTGAATGCGAACGGCGTCCGGAACAAAGCTGGCCAGCTTAAAAATATGCTCGATAAATGGAAACCTCACTTGTGTTTAATTTCAGAGACGAAACTAGAGTCACATATCACACTAGATGTCGACGGTCATTTGACGATGGGGGGACGGATGAAGTTCCGTTACTCAAATCGTTAGATGTTTTAGGCGTTGAATTACAAGAAATACCTATGCGCGTATACGCTGCTTACAGAGGCCACGAAAATAATATATTACAGTCTGATCTCGATATACTGCTGCGTAATGACATGCTGACCGTCATTGCGGGCGATCTAAACTGTAGTCATGAAGCATGGAATTGTAATCGCTCTGGTAGAAATGGGCGACTCCTTCTGGAGTATGTGCAAACTAGACAGTATTACGTCTATGGGCCTGACTCTCATACCTACGTTAGTAATCGCAAGTCGCACAAACCGAATATTCTCGACCTTATAGTGCTTAATAAACCAACCGTACAGGCACAGAGAGTGCTTGAGGATGAGTTTATCTCTGACCACAGACCCGTATTGGTTCAATTTAAAAGTTTATATCTATATAAATCCGAATGATAATATCATTATCAACCTACACGACTTTCCCGAATAAATTTTTACAACCTTTACACAACCAAAGGGGTGACGTGATTAATTTAGTATAAATTATCTTTAGACCATCATTCAATGTTTAAGATTTTTACAACAATAATCGAAGTTAAAGAATAATTCTTTTATTGTTGACTCCAAAGTCTTTTGTTATTTGTATTAAGTATATTCTACGTTTAAATCGGGGAAATATATTAAATTTAATTCCCTTATCTAAAAGTAGAATATACTTTTTTATTAGAAACCTACAATTCCAAAATAATAACTAACCACACATTCTTTATTTTTACCACTAATTACGATAGTTGCATCCAATGGTTATAAAATAACAAATAATTAATATGTTTTACTGATTAAAACTACAATATCACATATGCCACTATTTGAAGTTGAGCAACAGTTACATCAGTATACAACATTCTTAGTGTTATATAGATTTAATATAAACCTAATGTTCAAATAAAAATTGTAACAGTGCTAGATTCAAATTAGAGACACTGGGGCAGTGTTGAAATCAATAGCATGTTTAGTTCATCGCTCATCACTTAAGAAATACTATGTAACAACAGTCGTCTGGTGATGACTCTTCGAGCTCACTATATGTTTTACAAAAACTATATTTCAACTTACCATGCATCCAAGATTCTCATCTCCGTATAATCCAGGGAAGTATTTCTGATCTCCACAGTGGAACGTGGTTTCCGGGAGATCGACTTTGGACTGGAAATGATCATCAAAATTCTTTTCATACCCGACTGGATAATACTCCCGTGGTGCATTCATCACTTTCCCTGTAGTTGGACTGATTCTATAAAGAAAATTGGCAAAGTATAATATTAATATTATGGTATTTAAGAGCGCCGTAGCCGAGTAGTCCGTGGTGTAAGTCAGGGGACTTACACCTTAAACACTGGAGTTCGAAGCTAGCGAACATTAAAAACTTTGACGATCTAAACAGTCAATTTATATTTCCGATTCTTTTGCTATAAACAAACCGACAAGTTTTCCGACCAAATTTTCCCGGGGACGATGGTAGGCTCAGTATCTGGCATCTGCTACATTGTATTCAAATTAAGCCAGCGAAATATGAACATGTCAAGTGTTGTGTCGACGACGTCCACAATCTGACTATTCTTTCTACGATAATAGATAAAATATCTTATCTAACTGATCTGAATTATTCTTGTTTTCTTCTGTTTGTTCTCAGAATTTCAAATGTAATAGAAATAAATTCTATGACGCCTCTTAGCGTTTTATATATGAAACCAAAAATTCGCTATTGGCCTTAAACTTTTTTACGGTATTTTCAATGGACATGGGATATTTATCATGGCAATTATTCCGTTTATACAATGTGTATAATGTAACAAAAGATCGAGTAATCTAGTTTTACTAATAATCTAGTAACCGCGAGCCACGTATAATGTTTATATTAATTATAATAAATACCTTTTTGGCTTCTGAACCACCGAAGCAACCACGATTTCAGGCTCAGGCTCTGGATGGAACACCACCGGTAGTTCTGTGGTCGTCGTAGTAGTAGAGGTAGTTGACGTAGGCACAGGGAAATTTGTGTATTTATTTAATAACTGCTGCTGTCTTAATGCTATTGCAGCCTCCACTGCTTCCATAGAAATATTCCCTGCTTTTGCAATCTCCGAGATTTTAGCATTTATATCTTCTTTATTAAATTTCAGCGTCGTATCATCTCCGTATCCTGATATTGTATTGTAATCATCTATCTTCTTTGTGTTGTACGCAGAAAATTGGTTCGCAATTTCGTGTACTTGCTTAGGAACAGGATCTACAAAATTAGAAACAGGATTGTTTTGGATTGAGGTTTGATAAATGGGTGTATTAGATGGATGTGTACGTGAAAAGTCATTGAACATGGGTCCAGGTATAATTGATATGGCTTGTGTTGGTGGAGCAGCTACAGGCATTGGAATGAATGGGTTGACTGTTGTAGCCATGGAGTATAATTTTGGAGTGTTAACAATGATGGGAGTTGGAGTTATTTTGAGTATCTGTGGCTGAGCAAATTGTACTGCTGTCATTTGTGACACCATTTTAGAGACTTGATTGTGTGATGCTAGCGTTTGTGGGTAATTCTCACTTTGGTAAGCCAGGCCGGGTCCTTTGGACTCTGGAATTTGAAGCGGTGTATATGACTTCCTCGTAGATGATATTGGTACGACTTTGAGAGTGTCTTCCTTGGGGGGCAGTGGTTTGAAGGGAGGCACGCCCATGGGTACTGGCTTCGCTAAGGTCACTCCCGGTGACATTCTTGTGTTAGGTGCTTCGATAGTAGGTCCTACAATAATGGGCTGCATAGTGCTTGATACACGACGATGTAGACTAGAGAGCTTGTCCATTGCTGCTTGGTTGGGGCGGCTGGCAGGAGCCATTGGACGCATCATAATACGGTTTTGTTTTCCACGTTTCTGAAAACACAATTATCGTCAAATTATTATGGAATTCTAATTATAATTTTATACAAAGCGAACAAGTCACCAAAAAGTAACAATTTAGGCCACTTGCCGTCAGGCGAACCCTCAGCGTGTTTGTATAACATTAAGTCATCCAAAAATTATTAAATGAATAAACAAATAGCAGTTTCTCTTATACCACTACATTGGCAAACAATCATACGGCCGAACTGATGGTAAACGACTACCGTAGTTGATGGATGCCTGCAACACTGGGGGTGTAAAGTGATATGATCTATAGCACTGCGACCTACATAGATCCATCGTGCTTGCCGTTTTTTTTCTACCTAGGCCCGTTAGAGACAAGAATTTAAGGATATTTTTAGGAGCGGTGGTTTTTATCTCCTCAGGGTATAATGTATACTTTCCAAAGGAGATATTTCGATTATGCATGACTGGGCTATATATACCACATAGGATGTGTCACTACACATCTTCTGCAAATTCAGCAAACCAGAAAAAGAAATGCAATGACGTTTCCTCTTCTGGTTTTCAGAATTTATTTTTATTTATTTTGCCATATGTGTTTATTCGATGTCCTATGAGGGCCCTAATTATGATGCATATATTGGGCCGACCTTTACTTTACTTCTATTTAAAATAGTCATTAATAAATTTAGACCCCGAATTTGGTTTTCACATTCAGAAATTATTTGTTCCTGTTGGACATTTTAATCACTTATCCAAGTCAATTGCTCAGTATTATTTTTAGCATTATTAACTTTGAAATACGATATCACGAAAGTCTTCCTCTCCCAACCTTTGGAAAATGTTTCGTTAACGTTGACTCCCCCCTCAAATGAGTGATGTAATGCATCTATTTCAGACTTGAATATTCTAAAACCGAGCAATATTTATTACGCCCGAAACAACCTAATATGAGTTTCTATAACATTCAGTTAGAAATTATTCTAGCGAATGAGTGGTACAGTCATGTGTATGCCTGGCAGATGGCATCACAATAAACACAAAATGTAATTATTTTAAAAGAACAAATATATAAGATCTTAAGATATAAGTAATTTTTCACTTAACATACAAAAATATTATAGTGTGAAGTCCTGTAGCTGCATATATTGCTACGCCCTTTCAGGGCGTCGCAAAATATTGTATGGACTTAACCACACTCTGTATGCATGTTCTTTATATTTTGACGGTCTCGGTGGTCTAGCGGTTTAACCGCCACTATACTTCCGATGGTGGCGGGTTCGATTCCTCGCACGGTACAAACATTTGTATTCATGAATATGATAGTTTGTATTGGTCGGGGTCTTTTCTATGCATATTATATATGTATTTACAAAAAAATCTAAGTATTTATATCAGTCGTCTAGTACCCATAACACAAGCTTACCTTGGGACTAAATGGATCTGTGTGAATTGTTCAGGGATATTATTTTTGTGATACTGCAATAAATAAATAGATCTTAAAGGGGTATGAATGATACAAAAAAAGAAGCAGATATTACCTCCTGTTTACCAGCTGGTCTCGCAGTAGAATCACCAACCACATTAGGCGGGACCCCATTTCTGACGTTGACAGATCTTCGTCTGCTCGGGTCCAGATTTGTAAGAGACTGCTCGAAGCCGAGCTCGTCGCCCAAACTGAAACCTGATAAAATATAATCTTGAATAGAGGCTTATACATATCATTTGATACCAGAGGATATTGCTGATTGTATGTCTATGCAAAGGTAAGGACTTTTATTATTAGTGGACATTAGGAGCTGTACAGTCTCTCTGATAAGCAATTTATTTTATTACATAAGTAACTATTTATTAAACAAACACACTTCTGCATTATTAATACAGATAATAACTAATAATTTTATGGTAAATAAGGTTATTATATCTCTCGATGTTTCAACTAGGTGGCACTAGCCGTGGTCACGACCTGCCTGGAGACCTGCGATATCAATGTGGGCAGGCGCTAGCAGTTTGTTGGAGCGTTTTGTTTGGCTTTTAGAAGAGCTACCACGGCGCTTGCCGCTTCGTAAGATACCTCCGCTTGAGCTTATCCTTTGGGGAACGTATTGACCGTTACTATTAATAATAGCGGATATTGTCTTAATGGAGAATTTAGTTAATACGATTGCTATTTTGATTGCTAATTTTAGATGTCATTAATACTGGTTCTCAATTCACCTCTACTTTCTTAACTGAAATACACTTTTTTGCCTGTAACTCATTACCATAACACACAAATAATTTTATAGTATTAACTTACACATTGTCGCATTCAAGCCGTGCTAGTTAATGGTTATGTTACTCAGATACTCCATTATAAAAAGTAAATAAAGTTCAGAGTCCAGTGTTTTATGTTGAAGATTGCATTTATTAGTAAGTGCAGTGATTATATATCCATCCCACTCATAGTTGAACCTGTGTCATATGCGTGAAAAAGAACGATGTTGAGGTCACCAAGCAAGCAGTATCATTCAAATCCCGACCTTGTCGCTGCTAAAATCACCGAGACGCCGTTTAGAAAAAGGAAAAGATCAGAAAATGACTTATCTTTTACTTTGGAAAAATTGGGAAACACACTTTCCAACAAGATGGATAGTATGATTGCCGAGTTACGAACAGAGTTTGTAAATAACATTACTTTATTAAATGAGAACATTAACACAAACATAAAAAATGAATTAATTAATCTTAGTACCGCAGTGTTACAGATAAAGAGTGAAGTTAATGAGTTGCGTACTGAATACACCAGTATGCAAACAAATATTTCGAATTTGAACAGCAAATATAATGTTCTTAGTGACGAATTATCTGCATTGAAGGATTCGCTTGAGTTTCAATACAAGGAGTACTCTGATATGAAGGTATGCATTGAAAACTCGAAACTATCGTCTATGGCTGATTATGCAGATAAATTATGTAACCTGCAAAATAAAATCGACATCATGGAACAACAATCACGTCAAAATAACTTAGAAATATGTTTTGTACCCGAAAAACGCGGTGAGAATCTAATTATCTTATTTGAATCAATTACGACAGTGATTAAATACCCAATAGAACGCAAGGACATACTAGCTATTCATCGGGTACCACATGCCCGTTCTGATGAAAATAATCGCCCAAAAAATATTATAGTGAAAGTGTCATCGCGTTACCTTCGGGATAATATACTGAGTGCGTTCCGCTTATCCAAGGGACTTAAGACTGACGATCTGAATATTGTGGGTAACTCACGGAAAATATACATAAACGAACATCTTACATTACAAAACAAAAAGTTGTTTCGAGATTGTCGTGAAGCTGCTAAGTTGCATGGATATAAGTTTGTGTGGATCAAAAATGCCACTATACTGGTTCGTAAATCGGAGACGTCGCCAATATTCGCGATCAGGTCTCAGAGTGAAATTGGAAAAATTAATAAACTTAAAGGACAAACAACTAGTTCTAATTAAATTTTCGCTAACAATAACTATGTATTCATGTATAGGTACTTATTTATTTTTCTACCGAAAACTATGTGACAATAACACCTGCAATATTAATATTAATTACACCTGTATTCACCAGGGTCATTGCACTCTATGTTTACTTTATAATGGCATGGGTATTTGCGTCGTATTGGATAGCCCTCCTCGTATTAGTACTAAATATATACTTTACTTATTAGTTACGATACCAATTGCTCATAATTTTAATTTATATGTAAAAATAAAAGCAAAATGGCTGCAATCTATATGCGACTCATTATCATATCTTGCGTTCCATCACAACATGCTTAACCGGACTTCTAATATAATAATCGCCGTCTGTCTATTTTTCATCACGTCAGTCTACTTACGGGGTAGGCAAAGAACATTATGTCCTAGCATTCAACTCTTGTCCCAATCACTTTTATGTAAGAAATTAAGTAAGGTGATATACCTTTGGTTGTGTGTATTGTGGCCTGTACGCATAAATATTACATTTAAAATAATCTGCCTGTTTTTAAAGTGGCGCACGACACTGTGACTTCATTATTCTATCAGAACTGTAGAGGGATTCGTACCAAACTTCAAATACTATACATGAATATTCTGTCGCATTCATATGATGTAATTATACTGACTGAGACATGGCTCACTCCACACATTGCAAATAATGAGTTTATTGACGATCGGTACGTAACGTTCCGTTGTGATCGCAACCGTTCCTTAACTAGTAAACAAGACGGCGGCGGAGTCTTGATTGCAGTGAGGCGTGATCTGCGCCCGGTCAGTGTCACTACTGACTGCGCTGTTGGCATCGAGCACGTCATCGTTGCGCTCCCGACCGACCCACACAATAGTAAACAGCATATTATTAGTGCTGCCTACATACCGCCCCGAACGGTGGACCATGCTTATTTAACACATTTTAATACACTGCGTGATATCGTGATGCGAGACGGTGTTGATTCATTTCATGTGTTGGGCGATTACAATCTGTCACATATCAATTGGATATGCAATGACCGCAATACTGGTATGGTGAGTATGGGGAGTGGTGATGTGTGTTCATATATATGTGATTTTATGGCATATACTGATTCATTTCAATACAACAACATATTAAATCAAACTGAAAGAGTACTTGACCTGTGTATATCGAACATGTCTACTGATAATTTGATGCCATGTATACCTTTGTTACCGCCTGACAAATATCACCCGCCTTTTGCGGTGTTCATGTCATTGAATACACATTTTACTCCTATGAAACATAACCTGGCTATTAAATATAAATATAATTCAGCCAATTACGACACTATAAATGAAGAGCTTTTTAAAATAGACTGGGAACTAATTTTACGTGGTCTTAGTGTCAATGAATCGGTAGACCAATTTTATAATATTATTTACACAATCATAAGAATGCACATTCCCACTACACGCCGTAAGTCTACACGTTACCCTGTTTGGTTTTCTCCTGCATTAATTCATATATTTAAAAATAAAGAGAAGGCGTGGAGAAAATGGAAACAATATAGTAATATAATTGATTATGAGTTATTCTCTAAATATCGCTCTAGATTTAAATCTGAGAGTAAAAAATGTTACTTTGGTTATATTAATCGAGTGGAAGATGGGATTAAAACTAATGTTAAATATTTTTGGACTTATATGTCAAACTGCAAAAATACTTCCACAATACCGGCCACAATGCATTACGAGAATACATCTGTATCAGAACCTACAGAAATATGTAATGCATTCTCTTCCTTTTTCAATTCATCTTTTGAGCCGTCAACATTGAATCTTAAGGAATGGCATCCGAAAACTTCTTTTGCCAATAATTGTGATATTATAAATGATATCGAATTAAACCTTAAAATGATATCGAAAGGATTAAGTGACCTAGATATCTCCAAAGGACCAGGTCCAGACGGAATACCTGTAATTTTTCTTAAGTCTACAGCTAACGCTTTATCTAGGCCTCTACACATTTTATATAATAGATGCCTAAGACAGGGTATTTTTCCTACATTATGGAAACATGCTCATATAGTGCATAAAAGCGGAGATAAACACAATATTGAAAATTACCGACCAATATCTATTCTTTCTATATTGGCAAAACTATTTGAGAGCTTAATACATAATGTTATTTATCCTAGTCTCCATCGCGGTATTATGTGTGAACAGCATGGTTTTGTTAAGCGTCGATCGACTATAACTAACCTTATGATTTTTACTAATGATCTATTTGAAAATATGGATAGTCGATTGCAAACTGACGTTATTTACACTGATTTTAGAAAATGTTTTGATAAGGTAGATCATGAACTACTTCTCAATAAAATAGCTTATAACGGCATTCGAGGTGACCTGCTGAGATGGTTCTCATCTTATATATCAGGCAGAACACAGACAGTAGTCGTCAATGGTTTTAAGTCAGATATAGTCAATGTATCATCTGGGGTTCCACAAGGTTCTATCCTTGGACCTTTATTATTTGTTCTATTCATCAATGATGTAAAAGATTGCTTTCTAAATACAAGTTTTCTGATGTATGCGGACGATTTAAAGATTTACAAAGTTATTAGAAATTTTGATGATCATATCCAACTTCAACAAGATTTAGATAGATTTTCTCACTACTGCATCAATAATAAGCTGCAACTTAGTCTTACTAAATGCTGCAACATAAGTTTTACAAAAAAGAAATATAAATTTAATTATAACTATAAATTATTAGATACTGATTTGAAAACCGTTACATTAGTCAAAGATTTAGGTATTTTATTGGACTCAAAGTTGCACCTCGATGAACATATAAACTCAATTAAAGATCGTGCAATGAGAATGTTTGGCTTTGTTATGCGATCTTCTTGTGACTTTAAGCGACCCTCTACACTTCTATTTCTCTATAAATCTCTTATAAGATCCCAACTGGAATATGCGACCCCTGTTTGGAGTCCGGTATTTAACAAATATATAGAGATGTTGGAGAAAGTACAAAGTAAATTTTTACGAACAATTGATTTTAGATGTTGTCGCCTCAGGCTATCGTACACACAACTATTAGACAAATACAGGATGCTGTGTTTGGAACGTAGACGAATTTTGCTTAATACTATGACCCTGTATAAAATTTGTGCAAATACATTTGATTGTACTGAGTTAACTAATAAGCTGTGCTACGTGGTACCAACCAGTGTGCACCGTCGTTCGGTAAGGGTACGCCGTGTATTCTTCACCCCAACCTATCGGACGTACGCCGGTGCACGAGCGCCTCTTCACCATATTGTTGATGTATTTAACACCAAATTTCCTGATTTAGATATATTTGATTTGTCATACTTTAAATTTAAGAAAACCCTATTAGACATATTAAGTAGAAACCAGTAAATAAATAATGTATATAATAATAAGAGTAACATAACATAAGTATTAACCCGTGGATATCTGTATTGGTTTTACTATTATTAATTCATATCTATGTACTTATATACATACTACATTGTGAAACTGTTTGTATCCCAAATAAAATAAAATAAAATAAAATAAAATAAAATACACACCATAATACTTTAAGATAAAGATCTTATATATAAAATTCTTGTGTTACAATATTAGTTACCATACTCCTCCGTAACAGTTTGACCGATTTTTATGAAATTTTATATGCTTATTCAGTAGGTCTGAGAATCCGCTACTATTTTTATTTCATACTCCTAAGTGATAAAAGTTGTCCACCCCTAACATTATTTTTTGGACTTTTATTTATTTAATTTTTTTATAATGTGCCATTAAGAAATGAAATTACAATCCTAATTTTTCACCCGTCTACCATCAACTCCTGTTTTTTATATCGATTTTAATTTATATGACATACCACAAAATTATTTGTGTGAGACCCAATAAACTATATACAGGTATTAATAATGTGTACTGATCGCGAAAAAACATTTTCACAATATTAGTACGGACAATAATTTAGTATTACTTTATATTATATACTTAAGTAATAAAACTTACCTAAACTAGCATGAGCCTTTATACCCCCGAGATTCCGTACCCTGAATAGTCCCGATTTTTTGAATGCGCAGTTTATCTTGAATCCAAAATCCGAATCCAGAACACATGTTGGTTGTACAATATCTGTAACAAAATAACATAATTTTAATAACTTTTTTTTAAATATATGTTATATAAGAAAGTTATATTACAGAAGAAAAAATCGCATAACGCAATTACATTTTACATGAAAAACCGGACATCTCTAAATATGTTTTTTTTATGTTTGGAATATCAAACTAGTGAGTAATATTATTATTTTATATTCTTAAATACCGCAGTAAAAGTTTAGTTCAAATTAATAATAGAGAGAGGAAATAAAAAAAAAATTATAAAGGATAAACTAATTTTGATTCCTTCACATATAGAAATTTACATTCTTAGGGATTATAAGGATTGATGTTTATCTTAGGTTCTAGGGTTCAATCAATAATTGTACCTATGAGATTATAAACTAATAAACTATACTGTCTATAAAGTGAGCAAAACACCTACATATAGATATTCAAACGCAAAGGTGCATGTTTAACCTTGAGATAATTTCCGTTCAGCAGTCAAAATAGCTATGAACCATAATAAATACGTATTATTTCATAATTATGCATACAGTACTAATTATTATTACATACTCGATGATTAATAGTTAAGTTCACAAACAGGTTTTAAGGGAAAGTGAATGGACAAATACGTAGAGGATGTCCTCGCCGTGAATTCTTTAATTCAATCACATTCCGAAATCAATTTGGCTGTATATTAAATAAAGATATTTTAAAGTCCGGCCGCTCAGAGTGTGCGTTTCAGAGAGTAGTACAGTAAAAATTTAAATTAAACCATGATGTAACTAGTTTTGGCGCAATATATAAAAATAAGTTCTGAAATACGTGAATAGTAATATTCAGTAAGAAATTTTAATTCAAGTTGACGGAAAAGGGATGAAAACTCTTTATTTTTCAAAAACTCGATAACGGTAAGAAGTATGAAAAAACGTTTTGAATAAAAGATGTAGAGAAAAACATTATCCACAAAACAGGTCCACTTCATTTTTTCATTATCTGCTGTTGTTTAGCCACAAAAATTAAAAGGGCAATGTAATTGCACAAAACAGGTTCTCAGGTCGGGATCGAATGGACAATGTACCTTTGAACTGACGTATAATTTACGCCGGTTTTTTTATTTATCAAGGTTATGTCAACTGTTTGTTTTGGTTGGAGGTATCGAAGTGACACAAATAACAGATCTAAGAATAGAGCGTATTAGGATTCGTTTATCTCTGCCTACACCGTACTTAATCTAGTGTGAAGATGGATATAACAAAAGGTAAATACTGTGAGCAGGATGTAAAACTGCCTACCGACCTAGATTTCTCTCCAATTCTCAGTCCTTTATGGCTTTATTACCCGCCTACAGACGATTTCGTGACTCGTTCGATAACTGGACTGTGCTAAAAGTATATAATTTATATGTATAAGTTTTTAATTTAGTACATTCTACAGAATTCTATAATTGAAATTACAAGGATACGTTTCCGGAATGGCAGTGCATAATTGCAAAAGCGATTGTGAAGAAGTGTGTGAGGTAAGTGGTAAATGAACAGTAACCACGGATATTCTGTGATTACTATTCATATACCATTTATTATCAGGTGGGTATAATAAGTAAAATTGAAATGTTTTTAATTTCAAATTACTGGTCACTAAAAGCATATGAAAGTATATGGGTACTTGCATAAAAAAATATTTGAAACATTTTCTCTGTCTTTCTGTTTGATATCTAAAACACCGGGACTTTAAAAAGCATATGATAATATTTACAGTACTAAAATAAAAATATATAATTTAAAATATCTGTCAGTCTGTCTGTTTGAAATCTGAAACATTTGGACCGATTTTGACGGGACTGTCAATCGTATATTGCTACTATTAGATTAATTATTTTAATTATATGTCCTCACAAACATTAATGTTTGTATATGCAAAAACACATGTAGTAGTTTGGATAATACGAGTACAATGCATAGATATACTATCAATCAATCAATTGAGAAGTTGGTATCTGAAGTTAACCTCTGCCACAGGCCCTCAACCGAGAGCACATATGATAATTTGATTTAAGGAGTTATTTAGGCGAATTTATTATTTAATACAAAACTTCAAGAAGGAGGACTACTGGCCGATTGGGTGTGGTGTATCAGCGCTACAATGGCAGATTGACGTCATCACAGCCGTGACCACACAGACAATATCAATATATTAGCTTTAAAATATTATTTCCTAAGTATGTTAGTCTATAAGGTATTTATAATATGGGCCTAGTTGCCTGAAATAAATAAATAATTAATACAGAACTAAGTAAGTAACATAATTGACGATCTCGGTGGTCTAGCGGTCCAGCACACCGCTTTACGTCCGATGGTCGCGGGTTCTATTCCTCGCACGGCACAAACATTTGTATTCATGAGTATGATTGTTTGTATTGGTCTGGGTGTTTTCTATGTATAATATGTATGTATTTACGAAAAAAAATATCTATGTATTTGTATCAGTTATCTAGTACCCGTAACACAAGCTTTAGATAGCTTAACTTGGGACTAGATGGCGCTGTGTGAATTGTCCTGAGATTGTTATTATTATAATTAAATTAAATACAGACAAATAGGAATATTTTAAAAAGAAATACCATACCGGAAAGGGTACAAGATTATTTAAATTTACTTCTGTTGTGGCAGTGACATTCCGTTATTTCAATTAAAGTACATTACTTATATTCTTAAATTGGTTGTAATCATTATAATCTGGGTCGTGTATGCAGTAAAAAATTCCTTTAAAATTACTCTACATAGTCATTTTTAATAATTCGTGTTTACTATCTATAGTACAGATAGAATAATGTAGTAATTTTATCTATATATTAATACGTGAAACAAAAACTTTGTATATCTTTTCACGAAAGTTATGTGAATGGAGGAAGTAGGAAAGTACGTTTCGTACACTTTTAATTTATACAGAGAAGGAGTGCAAAATGCCAATATATCTCAAAACGTATTTTAAATACTAGTAATATAAATAAAAAAACATCATCCACACTAACATGGGTTTGATACTCTTACACACAATTATAGGTACTCATTTGTTTATTTGTTATTGCTGGTTCAAAGATCTTTTTGCAATTTTTATTATGGTCGATGAGCGACTACTGGTATATGTGTAGATATGTGTAAAAGCATATCTGTCTGTCTGTTTATTATCATTTCATGGCTGAACGTGAAAATAATTTGCATGACGAGGGCTTATACCTAAAAATATTTAATAAAAACTGAAAGATTAATAATTTATATAATCTTTTAATAAAATATAATATAATGTAATTAAATCATATATTTATACGTTTAATTGCAGAAGATTAACTGTAATTTTCGAAAAAAGAATTTGAATTTGAAATATATCTTAAAAGTCATAATAAATATTACAAGTAATGTTAATTAAACAGGTCAGCATTGAAGAAAGTGTCGGTGTAAATGAGAAAGGGCATCCTACGTTATTTCGGACATGTGAAAAGAATGCCGAATGAAAAAGATTGGCAAAACAGATGCGAAAGTAGAAAGATGAACAGTATTGAAAGACTATCAACTACTACTACTTTGTATAGCGTGAGAGATGACATGACGTGTGATGTGAACCAAGAATAGTGTTTTTGTTAGTTTAATTTTTATATTATACTAGCTGACCCGGCAAACGATGTTTTTCCATATAATATCGCTATAAAACATAGGGGTCGGTAATAGGGTAAAAATTTATTTTATAATGCGTAATCATAAAAAACCTACATAACAATTTCTGCCCAAAAAATAAAAAAAAATGTGTTGGTATAGACCACTATTGTCACTTATGGGCATGAAAAATAGTTCACATCATGTTCTCAGACCTACTGATTATGCACACAAAATTTATTTATTAATTTTTAAAATCCGTTGCGACATATAAAACATTCTAAGTTATAAAAGATTTAAAGTGTAGCGGCAGCAACTTTGCTTTATACTATGTAAAGCTCTTTATAAAAAGTTAATTTATACATTTTATAATATCATATTTAAAAGATTAATAATAACTGAAAAGTACGTACCATAAATGTCTCGAATAGACATGCAGAAATAAAGATATCATTGTTTTTAATTATTTCGCACATTTGCTTTCACACATCTCCTATTGATCATCCTATTGCATTGGCTATTAAATATGTTGGACTCGCCTTCTTTTCAAATACATACAATTCATACACTGTGTGATTACTACGTTGTTAAACATAAACATCAATATTACGACTAGAAATGTCGACACCGAGCAATTCTAAACCATTTTGTAACACCGCAGTAACAGACAAGAGGTAACCAAGTAAAGCAATTATTTTATGATTACGATAATAACCCAAGTTATTATAATTCTTAATATTCAGGAAGTAGGAAGTGGCACGAAAGGAGGCACAATGAACCCTTTATATAGTAGGTAATATTAAAATGAATAAACAAAGTTAATTGAACAAAAAAGTTACAATAATATTGTTTAAACTAGTTTGTGTTGATCTGTTGTTGAAACCATCACAGATACACTATCTATGACTGGAAAGGGATCACTGTACAACTATTCAATAGAAACCAGAGATTTTTAACGTTAAAAGAGGGCTCATAAGAAAGTCTAAGGTGACATATAAAAAAAATCAAAATAATACAAATATTTATAAAAAGAATGATAGACAAGCTGCCAGCAACAGTGTCAATTGCGAAAAAGGTTCAAACACTCATGAAATAAAAGTTGAATAATAAATTCGAGTAAATTTAAAACAAAGCTTGCTTTTTTATATATCTTAAGATATGGAAACTTGGACTAAGTTGGAATGGCTAAGTATGAGTGGTATCAAAGGTGTAACATGATAATATGAAGTCCGTAGTGCTGTTCATTTATATAGACAATGGTTACCAATTATACAGATCCTCCTCATACAACATTATATAAACAATATGTTTACCATGATAATGTTATTAAATAATAGCCCCGACATTTTGACGCCGTTTCAAACTTCTTAGTCGCATGTGATGTCCGT